CGCTCTCTTTTTCAATCGTTTTTGAGCAGATAATGTGAGCCACCTATCCTTACAAAGACATTTATGGAATGGATCTATAGAGGCAACAAAATGATTCACACACGTCCAAAGTGTCAACAGAAAATGAGACATCCTTATCATCGTCACTCACCTACTTCATCTCCATTCTCGGGGAAGCCATTTATGTGGCCAACAAATTTAGTGGAATCAAACCATTTACGACCACAACTATTGCAAGCCTCTTAATTCCTGAAAATAACTATTGAATTGCACTCACTATTGCCTTCTTGTTTCATTACCATTTTATTTCGAAAAAAAAAACAATTTGAATGTCATTTTTTAAATAAAAATAATATATGTAATTATCATTAAGTCAATGGTTTTCGATTTGAAGCTGATTGGATCTATTCCATTAAAAATCAACTCGACGTGAGCCCGGAGAACCGTTGGGTTTGGGTTCATTGGTTATACATTCATAGGCTGGGCCGTACGGAAGGATGAGAGGATTAAGCCTGTCATATTAGCCCATCTTGGATGCAAAAGCCCAGAACCAGTATCTGGTCAAACTTTCAGCATTGTAGGAGAAACCAGCCTAATGGGCTACGGTTCCGCCCTTGAGCCAGATCTTCTTAGTGAATAGTGAATAACTTTCAGATTTTCAAATATGAAAGTTTTAAAAGGGTTTTCTCTTTTTTTTTTTCTTTAAACTTTTGTAATATTGTTTTAGATTTGTAGTGTATTAACAAGAACAAATGAGAGCATGATCTTGACTCCCATAATTGACGAGAAAACATTGTCAAAACGAAAAACTTAATAAAACAACACAAAATATAATGATTCATAGAAATCATGTAAAGGTTATGTAATATACACATTTTTAAAAAATGAGCAAAATTGCGGCTGTCATACGTCATACTATTTGTTTAATTATTATTAACAATCAACTATTCACCCACGGTAATCTTAATTATTGGTTTCCAGTCAAAAAGTCTTGTAATTGCTTAATAATGGCCATCATTAATCATCATTATATGACGCAATCTATGCTTGATGATGATTAGATTAAGGATCCCTTAACCAAAATTTTACTAATGATCTGATTATTGGGCCCAGTATTAGCAACACTTTGGATTCCAATTATCTTAGGCCTATTTCTGTATTCCATGCGACCTCTCTGTCTTTTGCGAAAAGAAAAAAGGGGAGATCAGAAAAGCTTTTTGTTCTCTTTTCCAAGCAAATATGTCTGTACCCAGAACTACTACCCACATTTTCTTATTGCACAGTTAAGAAGAAAACTTTATTTTGCAATTGACAAATGCTTTGACAATACTTTACAGCTTAATCCCATACAAGTCATCTAACTTTCCTGACCATAATCCGACAAAATAATCCACATAAGTTGAATTTTGGTAGTACATTCGAGGCTGAAAGCAATTCCAAAAGTGAAAAAAAGGGGATGAATCACTACAATTCAAAGTTTTTCACTAGAAGAAGGAATTGTGACTTTGCATCATTATAATTAGCAACAATTCAAAGTACATGGATATTCTTTCTTAATATATATTAATAAACCGATATATGCATGAACGAGAAGTAACATAATAATTCACTTGTGAGTTTTTCTAACTTGCACGTAAAAGACAATTTCAATTTTAGCTAAAAAGGATTATATGAGTTTAATGAGTTAAAAAAAATCATTTACATTGAAATGCAAGTACTGTTCAATGGTTTTGAGACCTTTCAATCTATTGGGTAACATTTAGGAACACAATCGCCACATCACATGGTTAAGTATTAAATGTACAATAATCAACTGGGACCTTAAGGCGTTTTCCTACTGCATCAGATGCTTGTTCAATATAACATTGAACAAAGCACGTTGAGCCCAGAAAATTATGGTTTCGATCGGAATCATTGCATCAGCAGAAGGGCCAAAGCCCAACAATTATGGTTATGTTAGTGTTTTTGAGTGCCACACCATCCACTTCACATTACCACCGTTAACGGCCAATAAGAACAATTTATACTCCAACAGTTGGTTCTGACAGATTCGGGAAATAACCAACGGCTTACAAAGGTAGGGAATCGGGTTAGGGCTGCTCGGAGGTCCCTTCAAGGCAAGCAACATTTAAGAACTGTGAATGCAACAAATTAATGGAAATGTATTACTGGCCCTAGAGGCACAAATTCTGGTCAATTCATGAAGGGTTTAGCTGGTGGGTTCTTTAGAATCCACGAAAGTCCCCTCCACAGATTAATGTATGGGTGCAAAGAGTGATATGCATGAACTTCGTACCACATAAATCGTTTTCAATTCCAGTGACCAAGGTCAGTTTACTTAATCATGAAACCACGGATTTAATTTCCATCTGGCATGCACCTCTCCTATGATTGTCTCCTTGTCTCAATCATTTCACAGCCGGGATTATGCGACTAATCAGCAGTTACCAGTCCCTTGGTCTCAGTTTCTCTCC